TAGATTAGATTATGTTCTTAGATTAATATTATTTATGTATATTAGGTGACGAATTACCTAACCGCGGTTTCGATCCTGGTATGGACACTTACGATGCGCCACCTTCAGATGGTAGTAAAGTTAAAGTTGATGTAGATCCTAAAAGCCAAAGGTTACAATTGTTGGAACCTTTTGATAAGTGGGACGGTAAAGACTTAGAAGATCTAACGATTTTAATTAAAGTCAAAGGCAAATGTACCACGGACCATATCTCTGCAGCCGGCCCGTGGCTTAAATACCGTGGACATCTCGATAATATTTCCAACAATATGTTTATTGGGTATGTATAGTATCGTATATATTGTACAAAGAAAAAATATAATTATCCGTAAAATTAGAAATGGGATAATGTCAGTTATCTTAATTATATTGTTTTTTTTTAGCGCTGTTAATTCTGAAAATGGTGAGATGAACAAGATTAGAAACCAATTGACAAACGAATGGGGTGCCGTACCTGATGTTGCTCGTGATTATAAGAAGAAAGGCGTAAAATGGGTCGCGATAGGTGATGAGAATTACGGCGAAGGTTCTTCTAGAGAACACGCTGCCCTAGAACCGCGTCATCTTGGTGGTCGAGCCATTATTGTCAAGAGTTTCGCTCGTATCCACGAAACAAATTTAAAAAAGCAGGGTCTTTTGCCTTTAACATTCTCCAATCCTGCTGATTATGATAAAATTCAACCTAATGATAAGATTAGTCTTCTCGGATTAAAAGATCTGGCACCTGGCAAGGTTTGTAAAGTATACTTATAAAATGAAAATATATTAAACAAAAGATTCGAAAATATTTGAAAGAAAATGACATTGATTATAACATTTTCGAAAATTCGACTTATCTCTTCTTAATATGATTCTTTTAGCCAGTAAAAGCGCAAATTAAGCATAAGGACGGCAAAGTGGACACCATCAGTCTGAATCATACGATGAACGAACAGCAAATCGATTGGTTCAAAGCTGGTTCTGCTTTAAATCGCATGAAGGAAATTTCGAGTGGCGGACGATAAACTAACTGCCGAATAGGTATCCACTTGAGAGATTACCAAGTATCATACAACGCGTAACGCATTTGCAGAAATGGGAAAAAAAAACATTAGAGAATAAGATGAAGGCGAGCAAGATAATACGGCGTCATCATTCTCTTAGATAAGCGAATGATAAGACAATGCTTGGCTATAATCTAAACAACATAATGGTATAAAATATATCTTAAAAGTATCTAAAATATTCTATGTATATATCTCAAATATATTTTTAAGTATATTTTAGATACATAATGTTGTTAGATAAATTGTTTGTAGCTTGTCGCTATCTTTCTCACACTTCTACTTGACAATACTAATCGCTTATATAATACGAAAAAATATGCATTCATGCATAAAACTCTGATGGACAGAGTTTTATTCTACAGTTTGCAAATGTAGTTACGGTATCAATCGATACGCTCGTTTCGGAATTGGGCATAGTTTGAGACGTTATTATATGTACATATATGTATATGTTCATCACTAGTGAAGAATCGTCATCGTCATTTTCTAGTTGTTGACTGATTTTAGAAAAATGTATCGATGAGAACCAAATAAACTATTAATCAAAAAGCAATGCATTCCTGATCATTGACATTAATCGACTCCCTTGCTGTAAATATTTTCTTGAAGTTAAAATACAATATAATGTTAAAAAAATGATTTTTGTTATATTGTTAATTGTATTATATTAAAATTTCTGTTATATTCACCGCAAGTTCATTAAAAATAACAGAACGTTCATAACATGAGCAATTCTGAATTTAAAATATAAACTTAATAAAAGAAAAATAATTAGACGCATAAAATCCTGTCTATGACTAATAAATAAAATTTATTATCTATTATCTATTATTTAAAACTTAATTTAATTTATTAGATTTATTTAAATATTTGTCTTTAAAAATCTCATTTTATTATACATCAATCATTGATAATAATTAATAAATTGTTATCAAACAATTGATCTGGCAGCATTTTGATTTTATATGTTGAAAGATTGTGCATTAGTAACATTAATTTCACATAGCGTGTCAAACAATTCGTTTATAATTAGTCTTTCTCTTGGTTTAAAATTTTTGATATGAAAGATAAAAGAGAGCATTATGATTATTTCTTAATCAAAGATTTTCCTGACCGCACATTCGTTCATGAATTTATTTTAATTATGAAATGAATGTCTGATAATGTAATAGGTGTCGAAAGAGAAAAATTTGTAAAGTCATTAGAACATAATATTAATTTATCTTCTCCATCTATTTTTTTATGTGGTTGCACCTTCCATTTAACATTATTGGAGTAACATTAAATATTTTTCAGTAACAAAAGCTGCATTTGGCAAAAAATAACTTAGAATTAGTAACAGTTTTATGCTGATTATATTTTTAAAGAAATAATCTTAGCTTAGATCTAAAGATATAATTCCATCATGTGCACGT